CGAAGATAAGTTAGAACAGTTATATATATATATATATATATATATATATATATATAAACTACGAAATATGGCAAATGACATCAAATGAGATTTTCAAATCCTGAAATGAAATCGAATCAACCACAATACGCGAAATGAAAAAATTGCAGGTTATAGTAATGGCGCAATGGTTCAGTCGCCGTTACAGGCATGCTTTGGACCCTATGGTCCTAGGTTCGAGCCCCACCACCACCACCCAACTTTGTTGGTAGGCAGCTGTACTGTCGTCCGGTTCAATACCCCACCTATCCTATCGGGACCTTATGAGGTTCTCCACTCCAAGTCCTGGGGCTCAGTTTACCGGTCTCCGTCACCGGACAGCAGGTCTTGTGACTATGGGGCTCTCCCCGCCTGCTGTTCATCAAACGATGTGTAATAAAAAAATCCAGAATTGCTGAACACACAACAATCAACAAATCACAACCGTGAGGCCCCCCAAGACGGATAATACAGATGCCAATAAAAAGCCATTGAGGATATTGCGAAAACTTCAGCAACAATATCCGATCAGTGATCACCCACTCTTGACACACGGAACTCTTAGACAATGCGTACCCACTTATGTAACCGGGTTCATTATATACTTGTGTACTGCACTACTGCCTACCGTTTGTCCGGTAACCTATATATCTTTCAATATTTCTGGCCCCAAAGCACCCGTCAGAGAAAAACTTCAAAAAATCCGACGTAAATGATATCCATTTTTACTTTTTTTACGTGCCCTTTCTCTCTGGACTCTATGAAGCTGTGTTTTACTTGTTCTCTGCGACGGTATGCGATGATGAATGACCCTGGTGTCGTGCAATGAGCTGAAATTCATCCATTAGGATGAGTCAAGCGATTTGCGACTCGAGAAAAGTGTATATAATGATGTAAATAAATGTATTTGTACTTCCTTTTTATTTATTGAGTATACATATGTACAGTCAACATTCAGGAAGGGGGCCGCAGCCATACAAAGATTGTCTGGTAAGACGGGCGGCGGTGGAGCGGTTCGAACTTGGGACTCCCAGGTCACAAGTTGATGACCTAACCACTTGGCCACCACCGCCCAAGCATGAAGAGAGAACTTGATAGTAACGGCGGAAGTTGAGAGTTAAGACCACAAGGATTCAGACATCCATTTATACGGTCTGTCTAAAGTATCGAAGCTCAAACCGTTCTGTTCGACCCATACTTTCAATATCGGGTTTGCCATACAAGAAATCAATCGGAATGGTCTCCGAACTGGAACCCATTCAGAGGGAGATGGTGAAATTCAGCCTACGCGAAGTTGTCAAAATGCTGAACATTAAGAAGTTTTCGCCGGACGTATCGCTACCTGTCATCAATGTACCACTAGTTGAAATGAATAATCAACCGTGCAATCGCACAGCAGATGTGGAAGAACTCCGCGATGCAGGACGAGCATCCAGTCTTCATGCAACGAACATATGCACCATCAAATCAATGGTGTGCCAATGAGTTCACCACTTGGCAGATATTTTTACGGTCAAGCTAGATAGTCATGAACTGAAAGACGAGTTCGGTACGGTGATGATAATTCGTGGTGGGCAATAGAACGAGCGTTTCTCAGATATTGTTGAGAGTTAACGAGGGATATAAAATTCAGCCTACGCGAAGTTGTCAAAATGCTGAACATTAAGAAGTTTTCGCCGGACGTATCGCTACCTGTCATCAATGTACCACTAGTTGAAATGAATAATCAACCGTGCAATCGCACAGCAGATGTGGAAGAACTCCGCGATGCAGGACGAGCATCCAGTCTTCATGCAACGAACATATGCACCATCAAATCAATGGTGTGCCAATGAGTTCACCACTTGGCAGATATTTTTACGGTCAAGCTAGATAGTCATGAACTGAAAGACGAGTTCGGTACGGTGATGATAATTCGTGGTGGGCAATAGAACGAGCGTTTCTCAGATATTGTTGAGAGTTAACGAGGGATATAAATCGCTGAAGATGGAAAAGAACGAATATCTTCCTCCCTTGATCTAATAACTTCGCGAAACGAGGATGAAACGCCGGGGGAGAATCGTTTACAGCAAGCACAAGGGTTGGTAAATATACATTAAGCCACAATGCAATAAAGACAAATACAAGCGAAACTCCGCGCGTTCTTTAAAGTAACGGTGAACTCTTGAAAAACGGGCTTTACAAAGCAATACACTTACATTTTATGCCGCTGAGGTGAATGCATTCTATCCGATCTTTGCTCCGGAGCGCAAAGATCATCTGCCACGACAAACTACTTCTGGGTTTATCAGTTCCTGCGGAGACCATTACATTGGTCGTATGATTTGGCAGCTGACTAAACGGGTGCAAGGGTATCATCCGGACTGGTTGAGAAGACGACTAAGTAAGGTCATTCGCATCTCAACTGCGGAGATTGTGATCGACATCGGGTGGGGGCATTTGGTTCCATGTCGAACTGTCATTTTAAGGTCATCTGCAGGACTCCCATGAATCTGCCTAATCCATTGAGGCAAATTATGCTATGCAAATACGAAGCGGTAGGTAATTGGAACTACCACCTCAAACTGGGCAAACAAACACATTAAACACACTCTGAAGTCGTCAATGCCAGACAATATGACGTAATCAACGCTTGGTCAGTGGGTCAGCTTGAAAACTGAATGATCAAGTTTAGTAACTAGTTTATTCAACCGACGATAATTGTCTAATAACCTGATTGTACGACAAAATAAATTTTCCCGATACTGTGCTTATTTCCACGAAAGACGAACGTTCTACTATCGGTTATCGCGCACATTTTACAGAACACTTAAGTCGAAGTCATTTATACGTAACGAGCACACGCCTTTAACCTGAGGTGTAACACGGTTGTACTAACCTTGACTACAACTTTCCTGTTGGTATTCAAAGTTAAGGAGGTCATCAGTTGAACGATTTGATAATATGAGGTTGATAGTCTATTCCACAGCACGTGATTGATGCGGAATGGGACCGAAATAAGAGGTGGAGTATGGGAGGAAACCATACAGCACCCGGGTCGTCATACTCGATGAAACTTAATTGGAAATAAATGACATACAATGATGAGAGCTGTGGGAAGAGAACGAGAGAAGTCAATTGGGTAGTGGTATTTGTAGGGTGGGGATAAAAGGTAACACCAATGACGACAAAAGCAGCATATACAAGTGCATCAGGAATTCTCATGCACCAAATAGTCAGATTCGCGAACGGCCCAAGTCGAATTCTCAGTTCGGCTGCTGCAGACAACCAGTAGTTAAAAATTACCGTACGCGTCTATTGTCGTGTAGGCTGAACCACGTTCTAATGCTGTGTGGAATGGAGGAGTAAATCACATCAACCAGGCTGTGTCCGGAACATCTTACGGCTATCTACGTTGCGGTCCACGCATAGGTGCACAGACGTGCGTGCACGGATCAGTGGGAAACTGCACGCGAATGCGCCTGTGCATCAGACTGCGCTGAACTCCAAGCTAATGATCTTTGATATTTAGCTGCTGGTTGTCTGCAGCAGTGAGACTGATTACTTGATGCGCGAGAATTCCTGATGCACGTGTGCAGTAGAAGATAAAGATCTTCCGTTCCGGAGCAACTCATCGAGTTCAAGGAACTACTGAATGTATAAGGCACAAGTTAACTGAAGAGATTGTCCTGGGCCGCTTCATTTGACCTCTATGCATGGAGAGCTAGATGTCTACAGTCGAAAAGTGTTATAAAAAAATGTGAGCGCCCGCATTAGAAAACATAATTCCTTTTCAATATGAACGAAAATGACCATCGACCCGAACCAGGAGTGGTGAATCGTAAAATCCCGGGGTGGGTGACAGAAAACTACTCTACTCCTCATCCAGAGGCCGACGGAACAGTGGTTAACAGGAGAATTGAAAAAAGAAATCCTCGAAACGGACTACATCTTCCATCAATCGTTTGTTGATTGAAATCCGAGGACAATCATGGTCAGCTGAACAGCTACATGCCAGTTAAAATTGATTAAAAAACTTATGGATAGAAAGCGATCAAATCATGAGCGTAGTAATCGATCAAAGAAACATAAAAAAGCGAAAATTGCTGCAAGAGCAATGTCACCTGACCTTTATTAACCATTTATTATCTCGCCGTTCAGAGCTATATGGGTGGCCGGAAAGCGCCACACCATTAATCGCACTAGTTTTCGGAGTATGCGGTTCGGCAGGACGTGGAAAACAAGTGGAAACACGAATAGTATACAACTATTGTCGGAATTGATTTCAATCCGTGGGCGCCAAACTAACAAGCAAGCAGATTGCTTTTGCACACATTGCTTGAAGACTCCAGTTATCCAATGCCTAATACAAAAAGGTTTAAAAACCTGATTTCAGCTGCTGAAAAAGAGGCCAACACAAAGTTTTCATTACTTGAAGATAGCAGCTCTGAGCCAACTCGGTTCCTTCAGCGAACTCGATTCAGTGACCGTCTAAACAACTTCAGTATTTCTTAACTGACACCAATTAAACGCACCTTACACGTCCAGCTTATGTGTGTAGTATTGTACCCAGAAAAGAGAGAAACACAAGCATTGTGTCGGAAGCAGGGAACATCATCCACTAAACGGAAGTTCTCAGTCAAGATACAAAACGGTTGATAAGGGGTTGGTGACAAAAAATACTGATCAAACTGACTAACCAAGATTTGTCACTTGCATGAAGATCAATCGATGAACCAAACTGAGACAGGCCACCATGTCTTTGACCACCACCGGATCACACAGTTCACTTTCGGTGCTCGGTAAAGGAAGTCGTGCAAAGTACCAATCCACGGCAGTTCGAGCCTGTCCGACAATGGTGAACCACATTGGTGATTCGCTTTGCCCACGATCGGACATCGAACGTTGACAGAATTTGAGTAGGGAAATTTTCACCTGGTTCAACCGAAAGTCGACCGTTTGGACGATTAGATTTCGAGACATTTTCAGCGATTTCGGAACAGTCCGTTGTGCGGGATTAACCAGAAATTCTTCTGGAAGTCGTCGAGTGATTTGTTTGATCACTGTGTACAGAGTGTTTATGTAATCCGGGTTCTAACACGGGATGTGTGGAGTGTGGAGGAAGGGAGCAAACAAAAGGATTAGTTGGGCATTGAGGAAGATGAACTTAAAGTACAAACACTCGGTGAGAAGGACCTGGGCACTATCATTCAAGAAAACTTAGGCTGCTCACTCAACTGCGCCAGAATGTCGAAGACAGCTGTAAAGATTGTCGGTTTGATTAAGCGGGTCTTTGGACAGTTTGAGTCAGCGCTTTCCCCTGTCTGCTATCAGCATACATTCGCCTTCTCAAAGAGTACGCTTTCCAGACATGGAACCCATGACTAAAACGTGATTGCAAAATGCTAAAGCGTCCACAATGGACGACCACCAAACTGGTTAGGAGGTTGTATCGTTATTCATACGCAGACAGACTGAGGTCGCTGGGGTTATATTCCAATCACTACAGGCGCATCAGAGGAGACATGATTATGGTAAACCAAATAATGCAAAACCCATCCGTGTCGCCCGTTGCTAAAATTATCACCCAACATTCATACCAGAGGAAATCCGTTCAAACTAATGGTCTCAAAATGCCCATTGGAATGCCGGCGTCAGTCATTCTGAGTGAGTATGCTCGTTCTGGAACTCTCTCCCACCCCAAGTCGTCTGTGCGCATTGAATATGTCAAACTGAGACCCGATGAAACATTAGCACAACTTACAATCCAACATAAGTGAAGCTGCGTGCAGCAGTGGAAGAATCCCGTATTGTGTCATTTTACACAAGGAATTGTATGTATCACTGTTTTTCGACCACAACACGAACCTATGGGACGAGAAAAGCAGGAGCTTGTAAGTTATTCTCATATTAAATCCTTGATCTTTTGATCGGTTGAGCAGTATCAGATTAAATCAGTAGGACTAAACTAGTTGCCTAACAGTAATGTCATATGCACCGCTAAAACGGGGATGAACATTTGTGGTTGAGCATTGGCGAGCGATACGGAGGGTTTCATTCACAAGGAGACCACCGTTGCGATACTGAACTCGGAACCAGTGTCCACTATTTTCAATGATCACTGTCATGTCAAACAGGTTCAGTGAGGCTACGTTCTATGAACTCTCTAAACAACCTACGAGGCACCTGAATTCTTAACTGCATTGCGGTCATCCACATCACCAGACGATTCAATGAATAGGTATCTAGTTCACCTGAGTANTGCGAATCCCATATTCACTATGAAAAACTCGTGCAATATACTGGACTACACACCAGTCCTGTCACTAAGAAATAACACACACAAAGAACACACGGGTAGTGGTGGCAAGTAGAAATAACCCTGTGTTTCGTTCGTAGTTGCATAAACCCGTCAATCAGCGTATTGTATTCTTCCAATGCGCGTTTCTCATTATCCCACTGCGAACGCACTTTGTGCGATGGATCAGTGTGGCCCAAGTATAATCACTTCGGGTCGCGGTTAGATACTCGGAAAGGACACGAAACGGTACCCACTGTAAAGGAGTTCGAATGACGTAACGATTCAAGTGCGATCTACGTCGGCCACTAGACAACAACTACTAATCATTATCATTGTTATACTTATTTGACGAAACAACTATGCAGTCAAGGTAACGACTACGAGGAAACAATCACCGCCAGAAAAGGTCCAGTGATTCTGCAAGCGAATGGGACACTCACTCATATCTATTGTCATTTGTGTCTCCCTTCGTCGCTGTCTGAACAAATGAGCTGACTGACTATCACTGAAGACGACACCTGAACAAACATCAATCGGCAATTTGGTTCAGCTATAGCATGAGCTGGTTGACACAGTGGTAACGCACACGCCTTCTATGTCCGATGGGTCCGGAGTTCAAATACCGGACGGGACGGTGGATATGCACTACTGATGAGCTCTAATAAGAGCGAAACTCGAGTCTGTAATGCTTCCAAGTGTATGGTTGAATCGATGAACTGAGGATTGTGCGTCCAAATGAAGACAGAAGGATAGCCAGTTCAAATCAATCAGTATGGGGGGAAAACGATAGGATTGTTAACTCACGATGGGAGAATCGGAAGCGGTCACACAGCTCGATATGTACTCGTTTGCAGCAGTTAGTAAACACGCACTTGACTGTAAATCCATTTCACAACTGGTTGAGTTACGACTCTCCAGAATGGAGAAATGTCGTAGCATGGATTCGATCGCACGCGCCAGACACACGGACGTCAGCGAGAATCGGACAGATTGATACGCGTGTTTCGAAGACTGTTTGCGTTTGCCGGACTCCGTGAACGAACCGACTGGCTTCGACTGTTCCGTTACATCATCCCCGTGCCAAATCAGAGTGGGCAGCGGGAGGATAGACGTCTCCTTGAATGGGTAGGAGTGGAACACGCTGGTCCAATGCCCGTTTCTAATGGGTCGAATTTGTGACACCGCAGCGGCTAATTTGTACAGCTGAAACTCGTTTGTACTAGTCACGAACTGCGACTTGCCGTTCAACTGATGAATACTGATTGTGGGATTACAGATCAGACTCAAAGCCCGACCGATTTCGGTACAAAATTCAACCGCAACAGATTTCTGACAAATAGGATGGGGAAAGAATGGGAATGGGTATGCACGAATGAAGCGTTGTGATTCACTGCGTTGATGCCATTGCATAGTACCCGTACGCAATTCGTGGGACAATACACATGAAACCCATTAACTGAACAACACAAGCGGAATTCAAAACAGTTACTGATCTCCATTTTTACAGGCAGAAATATAAGGAACAAAATATCCCAAGACATGACGACGTTAGAGTTCACAAAATGAACTTAACCAATAAGGTGAGAGAATATCAAATGCAAATTGGCATCTGGGAAGAGCAATGAGTAAAATTTGCATCGACG